AGCGTCTAGAGATTCAAACCATGTCCTCTAGATATTTTCTCAGGTTTTGAGTTATGTAATAAGGATCTGAGCCTTTATTTATACCGGCCAGACATGTGGAAACAGTCATAAGTATGTTTGATTCTTTTTTTGTATTTGTTGTGAAACCCTCAGAATCTTTATTTATCTAAGTTTGCTTTTCTTTCATTTCTGAAAGTATTTAATTCAAAGAAATACTCATTTAGAGATTTGCACAGACACTAGTTATATATCTTAGCAATTACTTGCTTTAAATATGCTTGACCACACTGATATTTATTTCTTTAATTTTGGCATTTGGCTGGAAAACGGTCCTAAATTACAAACCCATGACTCATTGGGATTGTATAACTAAGGTGAGCCAAAGCCAACCCTGCTCAAAGCCATAAATTGGCCCGCAACGATTCAAAAGCCTTGAGACTTGCATTAACCTCACTAATTGTCCTGGCCAGAGCTGTCAGAATACGGGTTGTCAAAATAAATACCAAAAGGACACTGAGACCAAGTTAAACTGTAAAAGAAATGAGTCAACAGAGAAGCTTAAATGTGGGACCACCAAAGATCTGGCAGCAAAGCCACAGAGGGCTGAGGACACGACTGAGGAGGCTAATGTTTCCAGAGTAACACATCCAGGACAGAGCAGATCCGCTTTTTCTTTTTCAGACTTGTGCTGACATACCTTATCAATGCAAAATGTTCTACTCCCAGAACACATTTGCTTCATTTTCATATTAATTTAGGATTGTAATGAGCTCATTCCTGTTTGCGGTGTGGGTGTAATTTGAGCTGCTCTAAATTTTGTTCCGTTTTTTTGTGCCATCTGAGAGCAGAGTTTCCAAACTAAAGTTAGTTGATTATTGTTTTCATCGTCCTTCTTTGGCCAAGTTTTTAGCAGTGAAGTTGGTCAGTGATGTTACAAACTCAGACTGCAGCAACGACCTCCCGTTTCCTTTGTTAGCTTTTCTTTTAGTGATAGATTATCGTTTTTTTCTTTTTTCTCTCTGTTGTAATAATCACACACACATTTTCTATTCGCGACATCCTTATGTATTGTATTCTGAAATGTATAGTCCAGCGTTCATATCACTTCTGGTTCCAGTTACTTGAATTATTCTGATGAGCCTGTTTTGTTTCACTTTTTTGTTGTTCATCTTAAACTTCAAACACCTCATTTCATTCTTTGTCTGCACTTTAAGTCCTATCCTACTATTTCCAACAAATTCCAAACTGATTTTGTCTATGTCTATAAACCCTTTTGTACATGAAAACACATGGATGCAGCTCCCATGTCCCACATAAAGTATTAAACAGCCTTAGAAAAGGTGGAGGTTTGTAAAGGTGGCCTCCGGTTTTTGATACTCATGTAGAAATTTGAGCTAAGTGCTTACGGAGTTCTCATCAGGCTTTATATGCCGTCATGTGTGAGGCTCTCTCTGTCCAGGCACAAGGGCCCGCTTTGAGCTGGCCCACTGCATGTGTGGGATGGGAATTTTGGGTATATGGCAGCCACCCTCCAGCTTGTTCCCACCCAGCTGCTCGTACATGACCCATCCTACTCTGTTTCTGTCCCCACATGACAGCTCTGTGGTGAGAACCCAGTCTCCAGATTAGAGATAGGAGCCAAAGCTTAGGTGCTCAACAAGAGGAACTATTTGAGCAGGAGCTAGCTTCATTCTGGGAGTTAGCTTCTGAAACCACAACAGAATGGGGCACCCTGAAACATAAAGACTATTAAAGAATGAGCGCCCGGCCTCGTTCCCCCCCCCCATCCTGAACTCCATCACACTGGTTACAGCTGCTGGTGGTCGCACAAAATGGTGAGTGGTTTTGCTTGTTCCCTCTGTTTCTCCCCAGTGTTTGAATTCTGTGTTTGTGTCTGAGCTGATACAGGATTTATTTATTCAGTTATTGGCACGACACAAACCACAGAAGTGTGGTATTTTGTTTTCGGCACATCAGATTTTGTATTCATCTGGTGGTTTTACCCAGAAGCATTCTGCTTTACCACAGCGTATTAAAGTAAAGACACAAAATCAAAGTTTAACTCGATGACACAGCAGTTGTGGAGATTAAGGCAAGTCAAGTAAGTGGATGATGAATTCTTACCCAGCGTTTAGGCAGTTTTTTTTATTATCAATGAGCCAAGTGGCTTAGAACTTTTGTTTTTATCACCAGTATGTTATGAAATAGTTTTGTTGGCTTCAGAACTCTGAGTCCTATTTTGGTCCATCAACATGATAGAGGAAATATCAAGATGAGGAATGGGAAAAGGAGGGACTTTGATGTAGATCTTGAACACTTTCCTTGCAAAGCAGCATACAAATAAAGATACAAAACCTTAAATTAGCTCATTTAGGCGGTATGTATCTCTGGTTAATGGGCACTGAAACATTGATAAGCTTAGTTTTTTTAACAGGTATTTAAGATGCCCAGACACAAGATGTTCAACTTGTGTATTGATAAGCTTAATTCAAAGCTTAAAATAAATGTTTTGATTTTTTACTTTGTACTTAGAGCTGCATAAAAAAGTTCATCTTAGAAAATGTGAATATAGAGATTCCTTATCTTAGGATTCTTGAATGATATATTCAAAGTTTGGTGTATGGATAATCTTTTAGTTACTTTGTTCTTAAATTTAATCTTATTCCTGTGGCGAAAAGGGAGAAAGAGAGAAAACTGCTGCAAGCTTTCTTTTAAAAGAAAGTTGAGGGGGCCCTCAACTGAGTGAGTGGTGGTATAGTGGTTAGCATAGCTGCCTTCCAAGCAGTTGACCTAGGTTCGATTTCCGGCCAATACAGCTCCTCTCTACCCTGTAAGTCGTTTTGGATAAAAGCGTCTGCCAAATGCATGAACATAAAATGCTCGTAAGCTGCAAGAAAACAGAGGCCGGATGATTTTTTACATCAGGGACAATTGTCTGTGAACAGAGGCAGCATGAAACATCAGAGGAAGACTGAGTGACAGGAACATGAATGTAAGCATACAACAACATTCAAAATCCCTTCAGCACACATGCAGAGAATAAAAACGGGTCCCGGGCCCATTGCAGCGCGCACACATGTGGTGTCTTTTACACACACCAGTCACTGAGTGCGTGTTTTCATACCCGGCTCCTGACAGCAGGCCTGGACAGAGGTGTCCTTTGTCCGACTTACCTACAACCGACATGTTCACCACGGCAACCGAGTGGGGAAACCTGCCGGGACCCACTCGGGTTTCAACCGAGACATGAAAAGAAATGTCCACTCCAGCAAGAAAAAGGAGCCGGGACAGTGCTGGAGCAGAGCAGGGGGGTTGCTGTGGCCCTAATAGTCTGGGTGTGCCTACTGTAGAGGGATCCAATCTGCAAAACTGGAACACAACGGCCTTCCTTTTGGAATGAACTAAGAACACAACTTTACCTCATATTTATCACATTCCATACAGCCGTGTCGGTGCTAAAATGAAATAAAGCTAAAGTGAATAGTATTGGCCTCCTCACGGCAGAAGGACAGCGATGGCTTTCCGAGCACCCGTCCTTAACACGGCACTTAGCCACACACTCCAGGTGCTCAGCGCTGAACAGCTTGATTGGACGACTTATCTCCATTTGCGGGGTAATCCGCTGAAGAGCACTGCACTGTAATGGAGCTGCCTCAGCCGTGACCCCTCCCTCAATTACAGGCCCGGCGTAATGAATCCACACCTCCATTGTGATAGTTGTAACAGCACAGTTAAAGCGCACCGGCTCGTGCTCTGTGCCTGGTGTCCGGCTTTATTTTGGGGACACTGAACACCGTTTTTTGACTCGGGGCTGGCACCGTTCGGGTGGATTCTCTGAATCACTGGGATGATGCGCTCTCTGAAAATGGCCCTGGAGGAGCCATGCCAAGACTGCAGCTCCAGGACCCCTCCTCTCTCCTCCTTCCTCTTTTATCTCTTCGTGCGCATCCCTTTGCCTCCTCATCCGCCGCTGACTCAATGAGTCAAAGGAGAAAAAAACATATTTGTTTCCCAGACATCATCCGATAGCCGACTTCTCTCATTGCTCATTATTGTGTAACCTGGTTAGTTTCACTGCAGCTGAAGCAAATAATAGAACACGATTGTTGACTCCTATGAGGCGCTCTGATGCCCTGCACTCTCTGTCTCCACATTCTCTAAACGAACTTGTCGTGGTGGTGTTTCTCCTGGGATTGAATGAGCAGCGACACGAGTGTGTTTCACACCCCGCTGGTTTCAGTTGCTTTGTTGTGAGCGCCTCTGTCCACATCTATTTTGAGCCCAGAGCTGAAACTTGGCAGGGCGGGGAGGGGTAAGTGTCTCTCTGTGAAAAAGATCTCATTTAGTAACTACCTGCTAATTACACCGACAATGTAAACATAAAATTTGTAACCACCCCACTGGAGAATATCATTAACTAAAAGGATTAGAGCATGGTTCAAGCGAGAGGGCATCTGTGGCTTCTCCTGATTGAAAATGGACTAATCCAAATGGGATACATCAATAAAACAGCAGAATAAAGTTGCGGGCACTTAAGAGCGTCAGCCTCCTTGCACAGGCTTAAAGTGGGGGGGGGGAGAGTCACTGGCTGGCAGCCAGCCAATAAATTAGAAGATAAGAAATATTATTCCACTGGCACACCAGCAGCTTGCTGCTATTTAAAACAGGGAGGTTTATTGATAATTGAATTACTTGTGAGTGGGGGGGAATACAAGACAAGAATAGAATGCTTGGAGGTGGATCAATAAGAAGATATCATGGTGGATAACACCAGGGAGGCAAGCTAAACAGCCTAAAAGAGGTCGGTTGTAGGATGGCACCGTACCTGTGTGAGAGGGAGCTGAAATACTGAACATGTGATGGAATTAATTCATTTTGTGATTTGACAGGAAAACTAACTCCATCACAGGGAGACGGCGTTCCACTCAGAGGGTGGGTTTACTCATGTTGGTGGTGCTGTTTTCCAGATGCTGAGCTGAAGTAAGATGGCCTCGGAGAGAATGTCGACTCCTCAGAGCAGCTCCCTGTCCTCATCACCGCTGAGGCAAGTAGCCACTCAGTCCGTCCACTCTGGCCCTGGAACCGCCGTCCTCAGGCTGGATTCTGACAAACCTTTACCAGACATGTACATCAGCTTTTGTTTGTTTTAGTGTTCATTTGCTTTAGTTTGACCCAGCCAGGGCCGCTGGAAGTCATTTTGAACAGGGGACAAAAGACCTATGAGCCCGTAGGCCTATTTAAAATACAATAAATACAAATAAATAAATAGATCAGTCTCTTCCACATAATACAGCCACTGCCATCTAGCAAACCAACCCGGTGCCACAGAAAGTGAGAACCTTTCATCACCACAACGCTGTGCAGGACATTAGAAACTGGACGTTGGCTGGAGGGGCTGGTCTGGTCCAGTCCTGCTAGTTTGGGCCTGCCGGTGCCACTGCCATCAGAGGGGGGGGGGGGGGGGGGCAGGCTCCTCTCCGGCTGCTCTCCGGTGTCGTGGTGGCGGAGCTAGTGTTCTTCTTCACTGGTGGTGGTTTTCCCCAAAATCCGAAATGCGTGTCTGTGCCCTGTTTCCTCATCGTTTTCTGTCATTAGACTATGTAAATGAACTAGTTTGCTGCCTCGAGCAGGACATGACAATGTAATGTCCATAAACTTGTATTGATAAGGCCTCAAAATGATAAAATCAAAATCCAAATACACATATTAATAAAATAAAGTAAAAATAATTTGCCAAAATATTCATAAGAAATGTATAAATTGTGCATAGTATTTTTAATACATTTTTTAAAAATCTCCCTCCATCCATCCCACTTCCCACAGACATGGAACTAGCCACTGTTACTTCACCCAGGATCTATTGAAGTGCCATTGTGAAGCTTCCAGTGCAAAATTTGGTTTCACAAAGGTGGTTTCTGGAGATTTCTCCTCATGACAGCTCACAAACTGTATTAGTTTGGTCCAAAATCCATTTAGTCATAAAATCATTTTCATTTCCTCGAGCTAATGACATTAGTGCACCTTACGGGAATTAAAAGGGGGAAAAAATAAGGGGTATAGTGGTGGATTTATTGACCTAAAAGAGTGATCTTTTTGGTTAAAAATCACGAGCACCGATGGGGATCAACTCTGTGGATGAGAATATTTCCCCTGATGGCCTGAGAAGACTAGCATGAGCAGAGCGAGTCAGAAACAATAGCCTTCACGACTCTGTTGTTCACCAACAAATCAGCAAACACTTGTTTCTTGTAGCAGCACAGAAAATGGACAAATTTATCTGCTCATTGTTTCAGTTAAAAACATGCTATAGAATGACCATATATGTATATTCATATGAATATAAATTTCAATTAAAACTTAGATTTGACAATATTTAAAGGTTGTTCAGTTTAGACATGACACACAAAGCTCTGTGCACCAGCACAAACACACACTGTTAACACACTGGTAACAATGAGCAGGATAAAAAGAGGGAACTCTCCAGTGCGATCTAAAAATCACATGGCATATTTGGTGTAAAAATGTAGTGTTGCACAGAGCTATAGCGTGAGAGTCTGCCCTCATTCCCAGAAACGCTGAGCGGGGCTCACGATGCTTCCACTGAGCAGCTGCGTCATCAGCCACCTCTGATGGTTCCGTTTTGAAATGACTGAATCAAGGTAATTGATCAGGCTGCCGACAGAAGGCCAGCCTGTACTATCTCTGACTTTCAATGGCCCCTGAGCTGGAAAGTAAAACAGAAACACCTTTTTACACACCTGATCCGGAGTACGACTTCACTAGATGCGATTTTTTTGTTCAGATATAGTTTCATTCCTGATGATTTTTCCTCGATTAATCATTAAATTCAAAATTCAGTTCAAGTTTCTTCTCATAACTGTCAGGCCTCTGCATGAGTAGCTGCCTTGGCTACTGGGGATCTGGAGCCTGTCCAGCAAAAAGGTACTCTATGTCTCTCAATGTAGGCCATAAAAAACACATTCAGCTATGCCTTTGAAGCTAGAAACCTGGAAACGTCTACAGTTGGACATCTTGTGTCTGGGCATCTTAAATACCTGTTAAAAAAACAAATCTTTCATGCCTTTCCAGTTTGATGACTACTTTTAAGTTTATATTTTTTCTTTAATGAAGCAATTCCCCAAAAACAAAAAAAAAGATGTGAAAGACAATACAAATAAGCTTCACATTCATTTTTCCATTTATTTCTGTCCTTTTAACATAAAAACAAGGAAAGTCTGGTTGAAAATCTGTCCAGCACATGTGGCTCAGGGGCAAAAACAGAAAGAAGATTTCATACATACCAAACAATGAGAAACTGAGGCAGAAACAAAGCTTCCACGCCATCAGGCAGTCAGGAAACATGCAACTGCAAACACAAACCAGACTCAGCCTAATATCACATCAGTATCAGGCCTTCTTCTATCATGTCTGACTGAAATCCATGCAGAACTCATCCAAACTCAGACTTTCACATGAATTGATCCCCTCAATTTCCATAAAAATCTCCTTCTGGATACAAAACTCAAATCCCACAGAAGAGATTTATTTCCGTAGTTACTGTCCAACCCCGGGTGCCAGAAGCTGATTCTTCTCTGGAAAGTATCCTCATCAGCTGCCGGAGCCGTGGACCTTTCAACCTTTGATTATAAAATCCCGATCCATGTACTCTCTGCAAGGTTTTAAGTTTTCATGCTAAGATTTCACGGTAAATCAGCTCGGATATCAAATAATGTGAACAGACATACACACAGGCAGCCAGACACAGATAACCAAAGAGATGATCCTTTAAATGCCTTCTTCACCTATCTCTCATTGAGCCACTTAATTATCAGTGCTATTATTGCTTCCCATGGCTCTCCAAGAGTCAGTAAATCAGATGATGAAAGGAGTCTGACAGCTGATTTTAAATACAAAAACAACTCCAGACACAAAAGGAACATTTTGAAGCATCTTTATAATAGAACCAGGAACAAGCCACATTTCATCCAGGTCTGCTAGTCTGTACAATGCAGCTATTGGGTTGCAAATCTGAAAAAGCTTTGGCCGGTCGCTCTGCTGCAGGCTCGGTTTCTGTGCCTCATTTGTTTGCATGTGTGCATTTTTACAGTATGCTGTCACCGCTAACTCTCCGCCCACAGAGGAAAATTCGGAAAGTTGCATAAGTGTGGCTTTGCTGATGTCAGGAATGGGGTGTGAGGGAGACAGAAACAGAGGCAGCAGCTGGAGATGGTTTTAGAGCGTGAAGGCATAGTATTAATGCGCTCCACATATGGCCGGCGGGCCGAGTTGTTGTGCGTCGAATGTGACCCGGCATATGTGAGGCACGGACAGAGTCTGTTTGGAAGCTGGAGGTAGGCTGAGAATGAAGAGAGGAAAACTCTCTGTGTTTTGTCTGAGGCGAATCCAGTCTTGGCTGCACATCGGATACTGCTTTAAACATCTGGGAGTCAGATGTCCGTCCTCTTGGCCAGGATTTGACTGTACCAGCGAGAGGCCACAATTATCTCCTGCCCAACTGCTTCTTCAGGAGGAACACAGGCCTCTCCTTGGCCCAGAAAGTCAAGGCCTGACTGGGGCATTTAGAAGCTGCTCTTACTATTTCATTTGCTAATTTGACACCTCCTAGCTCAATGCAACTGAATCTAGCAACAGTCCTCTGTAATGATTTTGTAATGGAGAGTTCTGTTTGATATTAGTTTTTGTTTTCTATTAAGAAGAGAAGCACAGTCACATCTTTTTCTAATAGCTTCAATTTTCATTCCACACTAAAGTGTTCTTGTTTCTACCTTCAGATGAAGCCAAAGCCACAATGGCCGGTCTACAGTATCTTGCAGCTCATTTTTTGCCAACAATTTCCCCTCGCCAGACTGTGGTTCTGTGTCAGTGTTTAAGAGGGCTTTCCATTTGTTTCCCAGAGACATCAGACATCAGACTGTGATATTCCAGCACCCCAGACATTAAACAACAGCAGTGGGCTACTTCCTGCTTTCAGCATGAAGTGCTCAGTGGCTTCCATATTGGCTGACTGTGGGGAGAAATACTCTAAACTGAATCCAATCGGATCCAAAACAGACAATAACATGTACTAGCAGATGTCGCCTAGTTTCTTTTCCAAACATGTTTGCTGGCCAACTATTCAGCCCGTAGCCAGTGAATGGCGCGCCAAGCGTTTTGGTGAGGGGAGGAATCCAAAAGAGGCCTGGGGACTCGGACCCGGGGGGTTTTTGTGTGGAGTTTGCATGTTCTCCCTGGGTCTGTGTGGGTTCTCTTCAGGTCCACCGACCATCCAAAAACAGGCCTGTTAGGTTAAATGGACACTCCAGACTCCGCCTCCCGCCCATTGGGATAGGCTCCAACTCACAACCCCTTTGGGAATTCATCAACCCAGATAAGATGTTTTAAATTCATGAAGGGTTAATGGATTTTTTTTTGTTATTTCTGTGTTTACAAATTCTCACTCAGCCATTAACATCAGTCTTATTTCATTACTTTGTTAGATGACTGTTCTCTTGTTGAACTATTATGTTTCGGGTACTTGGACGTTTCCCAGATGATCAGATACATGACTGCTATAATCTTTATGAGACCTTAGAAAATTGTTTAAAAGATATACATATGTAAATGTTTACTTTAATATCCCATGGCTTAATATTCAAACACAGGACTATTTAATTGCCCAATCTGTTGTTTCTACAATTTAGCTTTTTTTTGTGTGTGTGTGTGTGTGTGTGTGTGTGTTGCTTTGATAGATTGTGGTTAAATGTGAGTGAGCCCCACAGAGCGTCTACCCTTTAATTTAAAACACCAGCGGGATAGTCCATTACTCAAGCGGGCAGAAGCAGACATTACTCAGCCGATCATTCTGAAGTACAGTAGGTGGCACCTGAAGCCCCCGGAGCCTCTATCGACACGTAGAACGAGGCTCGCACCATAACACCAGCCCCCAGGGACAAATTAGCTCCATGCTGTCCAATAGCTGCCATTTGGTGCGCATTCATGCCACCATATACTGTCACTATCAGTGCAATGGGGTTTTGAATGACC